TTCTCCCACTTAGAAATCATGGAGGGTCTGAAATGTTCATCTTAGGTGCATGTCCTCTGTGAGAGACATAATCTATAAAAGAAAAATCAGGAAATCACAATGTATGATTTTTAAATAATTTATTTGTGTGTTACTGCTGTAAATACATATTTGAACACCTGCCAATCAGCAACAGTTCTGGCCCTCAAAGACCTGTTAGTCCTCCTCTATAACGTCCACCTCCACTTCTTATTCTAAATGAGAAGCACCTGTTTGAGGTCGGTAGCTGCATGAAGACACCTGTCCACCCCACACAATCAGTAAGACTCCAACTACTAACATGACTAAGACCAAAGAGCTGTCCAAACACACCAGAGACAAATTGTAGACCTCCACAAGGCTGGAAAGATCTACGGGGCAACTACCAAGCAGCTTGGTGAAAAAAGATCAAGTGTTGGAGCAACTATTAGAAAATGGAAGAATCTAAACACGACTGTCAATCTCCCTCGGACTGGGGCTCCATGCAAGATCTCACCTCATGGCGTATCAATGATCCTAAGAAAGGTGAAGAATCAGCCCAGAACTACACGGAGGAGCTGGTCCATGACCTGAAGAGAGCTGGCACCACTGTTTCCATGGTTACTGTGGGTAATACACTAAGACGTCATAGTTTAAATCATGCACGGCACGAAGGTCCCCCTGCTTAAATCAGCGCACGTCCAGGCCCGTCTGAAGTTTGACCAGGACCATTTGGATGATCCAGAGGAGTCATGGGAGAAAGTCCTGTGGTCACATGAGACCAGAATAGAACTTTTTGGTCTTAATTCCACTCAGTGTGTTTGGAGGATGAAGAATGATGAGGACCATCCCAAATACACCACCCCTGCTGTGAAGCATGGGGGTGGAAGCATCATGCTCTGGGGGTGTTTTTCTGCACATGGGACAGGACGACTGCACTGTATCAAGGAGAGGAAGACCGGGGCCATGTGTTGAGAGATTCTGGGGAATGACCTCTTTCCTTCAGTGAGAGCATTGAAGATGGGTCGAGGCTGGGTCTCCAACATGATGATGACCTGAAGCTCACAGCCAGGAGAACCAAGGAGTGGCTCCGTAAGAACATATCAAGGTTCTGGAGTGGCCCAGTCAGTCTCCAGACCTGAACCCTGTAGAAAATATTTGGAGGGAGCTCAAACTCTGTTTCTCAGTGACAGCCCAGAAACCTGGTGATCTAGAGAAGATCTGTGGAGGAATGGACCAGAATCTCTGCTGCAGTGAACCTGGTGAAGAACTACAGGAAACATGTGACCTCTGTCACTGCAAACTAAGACTACTGGTCCAAATATTAACAGTGATGTTCACAGGTGTTCAAATACTTATTTACAGCAGTAACACACAAATAAATTATTAAGAAATCATACTTTGTGATTTCTGGATTTTTATTTTAGATCATGTCTCTCTCAGAGGACATGCAGCTCAGATGAAAACTTCAGACCCTCCATGATTTCTAAGTGGGAGAACTTGCAAAGTCGCAGCGTGTTCAAATACTGATCTTCCTCCCTGTATATGTATGTATATATATATATATATATATATATATATTTGTATATGTAGATATGTATATCTTGTAAACAGGTCGATGGTTCAGAACCCCATGAGCTCCAAGAGGAAACTGAAGTCTCAGACCCGGGATCAGGTCCCAGGATCAGAACTCGTGGTTTGGATCTTGGCTGAGGTCCGGAGGTTTTCTGGGTTTGTCTGCAGTTTTCTGTGAAGCGGTTCTGACACGGCTGCTGTCTGTGAGTAGGTGGGTTAGATTTGTGGACCAGAACCTTTGTTCAACCATAAAATCTCATCAAACAATTAAATAAATAAGGTAAAAAGAGTCTGAGTCCAGGTTCTGGTTCTGTTCATGTCCAGCCTCAGCAGAGTTCTGAGGAGGGTCTGCTCCTTGGGTCAGGGTTCTGTTCCAGTCCAGCTGGTTCTGTCGGGTCACCAGTAGAAAGAGCGGGACAGGAAGTTTGTTGCAGCTCCTAGCCAGCCGGTGCCGTTCTGGCCCGATCCGACCCGGCTCACGGCCTTGTCGGGCTCCTGACACGGACTCTCGTCCTCTGGCAGGTACTCCGGCAGGTCCGAGTTCTGCTCCACCTCCACGGAACCGTCCTCTGCAAACGGGACCAGAACCTGTAAGAAGAAACACACAGCTGACTGTCAGACCTGGTTCTGAAGATAGGAGTTCTGGTTCTGTTCAGCAGGACCTGCCTGGGCCCAAAGATGACCCAGTTCTGCAGGGCAGCACTTCAGAACCCTTTCATCTGTACGGTGTTCTGAACCGGACCTCCATGGTGCTGCTCAGAGCCGAGACCAGTGTTTGGTTCTGTTTGGACTCAGTTCTATCATGGTTCTGGTCCTGTCAGAACCAAAACCAGCAGAAGCTGGTTCATGTTGGGCCATTCTGATAGACACACTGGACTGATGGTTCTTTACTGGGTTCTGGTGTCGGGGGACAGAACCTCCTCTGGTTCCGAGTGGTTCTGCCACCCCCTGTTGAACAGAACCTCTTCTGGTTCTTCTCGGACTCAGAGGTCAGACCGCTCTACAGAGCCGGGTCAGAACTAAATGTTTGGACCCTGCTGGTGGAAAAGCCTCATGCATGGCAGGAAACGGGTCAGAACAGTACTCTATGGATCAGAACCAGCTGAAGCCCGCAGAGTTCTGACCTCGTCTCCGGTGTCGGTCCGCAGCACCTGTCGGGCCTTCAGCACCTGGGTGGACGCGATGGCAGACCCCAAAACCTGGAACAGAAACACAGACTCTTACATCCCGGTTCTGAGCAGAACCTGGTTCTGAGGAGGACCCGGTTCTGAGCAGAACTTGGTTCTGAGGAGGACGTGCTCACCTCGGCCTTCAGGTCCGATCGAACCCGGACCACACATCTCTTCAGGACCATCTGGAAGGTGAAGCTGACGACTCCTCGGACCTTCAGCAGCGCCGTCTCACACAGACTCCTGCGGCTCTGCGGACAGAACCACCCCATCAGACCTGACCCGAGCCCAGAACCTTCAGAACCTCTCGGGTCTCACCGGATCATCCAGCCCGTTGATGTGCAAGATGACGGTCCTGGCCCGCTTGTTGCTGGAGCCCAGGAAGAACTGGGCCTTCTTACGGCCGCTGACGGGCAGCCCGCCCCGGTCCTGTTCTGGTACCTCGGTGCTGGACGCTTGCAGGATCTCGTAGACCTCAGAGGCCAGCAGCTTGGTCTCTCCGGGGGTGGTGGATCTGAAACCAGAACCCACACAAACAGAACTTCATTATTTACAGGTTCTGTCGGTACCAGAACCAACATGGCAGAACTAAATAGGCCTTTGAACTGGTCCCGGGTTTGGACCTTTGGTTCTGGAAAAACTCACTTGTGAATGACGTTCTGCAGACTCAGAACCATCCCCAGCTCCGCCTTCAGGTTCTCCCTGTTGGCCCGGCATTCTGCCAGGTACCGGATCGCCTGCAGACAGAACCAGTCAGGTCTGGGAGGGAACAGAACCACAGAACCATGTGAGGGTCTGGGACTCACCAGCAGGGCTGAGTAGACCACCTGAGGACTGGGGTGGTCCAGGAACAGGATCAGACCCGGCAGGCAGCCCTGGTCCTGGACGATGGCCCGGCGGTTCATCGGGTCCGCAGCCAGGTCCCGCAGCTGGTTCACCACGGCCAGCGGGTCCGGTTCGGCACTCATGGCTGACAGGAAGAGGCGGGGCATAGACAGGAAGGAGGGGCATAGACAGGAAGGAGGGAGGTATAGACAGGAAGATGATATATAGATCTACCTGGTGAGCTTCACACACGTGTTACAGCGTTCAGATCATGTTTGGTCATGGCTGGTGAAACAAGACGGCGTGCTGCTGCCGATCCAACGTTTGGGACAAGTTCACTCTTCATAAATGAAAAAACAAACTCATCTGCAACATTTGCAAAGCGGACGTCACAAGATGGAAGCACTTCTGTGATGCACGAGCATTTAAAGAGGAGGCGCCTGGAACATCTGGAAACAGACGCACCCGGTAAGATGTAAAGTAACTAACAGCACACACACGAGGAGACGAGTCCGACAGAACATTTACTGAACGACGTGCGTGTGACTCAACGACGTGCGTGTGACTCAACGACGTGCGTGTGACTCTGAGGGGTCAAGGTTTGTTTTTTTCAGGAGAGGCTGGACAGCAGCATGTTTAAAGGATTTTGGCACCACGCCAGTGGATAAACTACTGTTTACTATATCAAGAATGGACGGACCTAGAGTAGGAAACACCTCCTTTAGTAGTCGAGGGGGGACCACATCAAAGGGGGAACCAGAAGGTTTCAAGCTGCACATGACCTGCTCTAGAGAAGATAGAGTGATGGGTTCAAAATGGTCAAAAGGAGCTACAGATTGAGGTGGGATGGATGGGTCATGAGTTGGAGGAGAAATGAGAGCCCGGGTGGTCGCAATTTTTTCCACAAAGAAATGTAAGAAGTTGTTGCACAGCTCAGTCGAGGCTTCCAGAGGTGATGGTTCAGTGAGGTGGAGAACAGAGTTTAGGGTGGAGAAGAGAACACGTGGGTTGTGAGAGTTTGAGGTAATTATATCAGAAGAATTTTGATTTAGCAGCTTTTACTGTTTTCTGATAACGGCACCAACTCTCTTTAAGTATTTGAAAAGAGACCTGCAGCCTGTCTTTCCTCCACTTTCACTCCGCCCTCCTACATTGCTGCCTAACGGCCTTGGTGACGTCACTCAGCCAAGGTTCTGCTCTCAGTTTAGATTTTTTTGGTTTTAACAGGTGCAACATGATCCAGAGTCTTTAAGCAGACAGAGTTGAACTGGGATGTCAGCTCCTCAGTGGTGGTGAGAAACACTGGGGGCTGAATTATCATTTCAGAGTTATAAACATCTGTGAAACATGTGGCAGGAAATGGTTAATGGTCTGAATCCTACGTGCAGGAATGCACGGCTTAGGAGTTAGATGGAGGAGGGTGAACTCAAACCGGACTGGCATGTGGTCTGAAAAACATTATCACCAATAACAAGATTATTAACAGTCATATCACGAGTTAAAACAAGGTCCAGTGTATGTCCAGACTCTTGGGTGGGACTGTTTACATGCTGAGTTAAATTAAATGAGTCCAATAGATCTAAAAAGTCCTTAACCAAGGGCTTCTCAGGACAGCACACGTGCAAATTAAAGTCCCCAATAATGAAAACATGCTCATATTTTGGTGTGATTTCAGCCAAGAAGTCAGAAAACTCATTTATGAAATCCTTAGATCGAGGTGGGCGGTAGACGAGTGCAAATAAAGTCTGAGGTGAATGTCCGAGTTCAAAGACGCTCAGCTCAAAGCTGGCGGGGGAAACTGGGATGGGCAGTTGTTTACAGTCAAAAGTTGAGTTGAATATTGTTAATAATCCACCACCGCGCCGGCCTGATGGCCGCGGGGCGTTAAAATACAGACAGTTCTGTGGCAATAATTCTGTCAAGGCGCTGGACTCACCCGGAGACATCCAAGTCTCTGTGATGCAGAAAAAGTCCAGATCGTGCTCTTGAAAGTAATCCCTGAGGATGAAAGTTTTGTTGGTAACAGATCTTGCGTTGACCAAACACATCCGGATACTGTCCAAAGTGGAGCTAGCAGCGGTGAAGTTAGCGTGCGCTAATGGCCGCAGGTTTTCAATAACAGCCCCTCCAGGTCGGTCCGGGCTGCGCAACGGCTGACAACTCCCGCTGGTTACCTGGTCCGGGCACGCGGAAAGCTGAAGACCATGACCGCCAGCTGAAGAGGAAGATGCAGCGCGCAGAGCTTTCAGCTTCACCAGCTGACCAGCACGTTTTCCCCGGCGTCTGAAGCGAGATCTCCAGGCAGGGAGGTGAGGAGCCCAGCGAAGGTAAGCTGGCACGTCCGCCAGCAGGGGGGGTGGAGGGGGGGTGGAGGGGGGGTCCAGAGGTACGCTGATAATGGTCCAAATAAGCGACTTCAGTGACAGAAAAATGAAGATTCAAAAGTTGTTGTCTGTCATACACCAGCAGAGAGTTGATGTCACAGATGTGAAATGCAAAAAAAATAATAATCCGAACACCATCAGCAGAGGTGGATTGAAAGCCATGTACACGGGCGCAATCTTACCGGAAGTGAGTAGTGATGAAATGTGAGTAGCATGAAGAGGATCATGGAGGACTTTACGCAGGAGGCAGACGTGCACTCGGGGGCAGACGTGCACTCGGGGGCAGACGTGCACTCGGGGGCAGGCGTGCACTCGGGGGCAGGCGACTGTCCTCACTGAGTCTGATGAGACACGAGGCCGCTCTCCCTCGTCGATGGTTAAGGTTTCAAGAGATGATTCACCAGTTCAGTCCAGATTACATCCTCCCATCCAGAAACCAGTTCAGTCCAGATTACATCCTCCCATCCAGAAACCAGTTCAGTCCAGATTACATCCTCCCATCCAGAAACCAGTTCAGTCCAGATTACATCCTCTCATCCAGAAACCAGTTCAGTCCAGATTATATCTTCCCATCCAGAAACCAGTTCAGTCCAGATTACATCCTCCCATCCAGAAACCAGTTCAGTCCAGATTACATCCTCTCATCCAGAAACCAGTTCATCCACTTGATGTTGAAAAAACGAGACAACATTTTTGAAGGTAACGTGCACACACATGCACTCATTTTGTTTCTCCTAAGAAATTCTCTATTTGATTCATATAACTGATAAATATTTATTACTTTGGTTAAATCATGAGATAAATGCAATAATTCATTAAAAATATAAAAATGTCATAAACCTACTGGAACTATGAGTGGGTTGTTCTTCTTACATACATGAAGTAAACAAATATTTCTTACATACATGAAGTAAACAAATATTTCTTACATACATGAAGTAAACAAATATTTCTTACATACATGAAGAAAACAAATATTTCTTACATACATGAAGAAAACAAATATTTCTTACATACAGGTCCTTCTCAAAGAATGAGCATATTGTGATAAAGGTCATTATTTTCCATAATGTAATGATAAAAATGAAACTTTCATATATTTCAGATTCATTGCACACCAACTGAAAATTTTCAGGTCTTTAATTGTTTTAATACTGATGATTATGACATACAGCTCATGAAAACCCAAAATGCCTGTCCCAAAAAATGAGCATATTTCATCCCACCAATGAAAGACAAGTGTTTTTAATACAAAAAACACCAACCTTCAAATAATCATGTTCAGTTATGCACTCAATACTTGGTC